GGTACACAGCAGGATCCACAGTCTGCTTGGACCTTCCCGGTGCTGGGCCTGGCTACAACTTTCTCCTTTCTTGAACAGTGGGTGGCTTTACTTATTTTTCAGGCTAGAAGGAACCCCTGTGCTTCCTCAAAAATAATTGTAAATCATGCAATTTCTTACATTTGAATGTAAATGAGATTTGAATGAATAATGCTGATTATACATTCATCCTAATTCAAATCCTATTTTAATTAGCCTATGGGCCCAATTTTACTTTCATGCAGCATGAAACCTCTTTTGATTATCAACAGAATTGCCATGCATTTATTCTAGAATTTTTTCCCTGCTCAGCGCACGTCTTTGTAAACTGCTTAAAAACAAAACAAAACAAATATATCATTAATAAATTAATCAAATGTCATTAGCATGACATGGGAGGACATATTTTGAGGGGAAAAAAGTCTTCCTGTAAATATATTCCCCTTAATAACTGCCTTTTGGCTACAGAATCTTTCTCCTACATATGCTGTTTCAGACAAACCTTGTCTGAGGAGGTGCTGGTGAACTGTTGGAAGTTTGAAGAGACCAGAGAGCTTTGTCTCCCTGTTCACCTCTGGCGCTGGCTCTCAGGGCTGGAAGGTGTGCTCCTGTGCTGCACTGCACCTCTTCCAGGGAAAACTTGGTTGTGAGTTGAAGCCCCTGCCCGGGTGTGGGCTGAGCTGGGGTGTCTCAAGATGCGGCAGGACAGTGAGCTGGGCTGGGAGGGGTGGGTTGGCTTGGCTGGCTTTGCATGCTGTTGGTCCGCTGTGGTGGAGAGGTCACTTGTAGAGTCCTTCCAGCGAGAGTCATAGGGGCACAGAATGGTTTGGGTGGGAAGGGACCATGAAAGATCATCCAGGCCATCCCCTGCCACAGGCAGGGACATCTGTCACTGGATCAGGTTGTTCAGAGCCCCGTCCAACCTGGCCTTGGACACTTGCAACAACAGGGCAGCCACAGCTTCTCTGGACAAACTCTTTCAGTGTCTCACTGCCCTCATCGTAGAATCATAGAATGTTTTGGGTTGGAAGGGACTCCTAGGGGTCATCTAGTCCAGCCCGCCTGCAGTGAGCAGGGACACCACTAACCAGATTAGGTTGCTCACAGCCCCGTCCAACCTGGCCTTCAACGATTCCAGGGATGGGGCCTCCACCCCCTCTCTGGGCACGCCCTGCCAGGGTTTCACCACCCTCATTGTAAAGAATTTCTTCCTTATAGCCAGTCTAAACCTCCCCTGTTTTAGTTTAAAATCATTACCCCTTGTCCTGTCACAGCTATCCCTACTAAAAAGATTTCCCCATCTTTCCTATCATCCCCCTTTAAGCACAACGGCCGCAATCGGGTCTCCCCGCAGCCTTCTCTTCTCCAGGCTGAACAGCCCCAACTGTCTCAGCCTGGCCTCATAGGAGAAGGGCTCCACCCTTGGATCATTTTTGTAGCCGTCCTCTGGCCCCGCTCCAACACTTCCATGTCCTTCTTGTGCTGAGGGCTCCAGAGCTGGACACAGGGCTCCAGGTGAGGCCTCATCAGAGCAGAGCAGAGGGGCAGAATCACCTCCCTCGACCTGCTGGCCATGCTGCTCTTGATGCAGCCCAGGGTAGGGTTGGCCTTCTGGGCTGCCAGCACACATTGCCGGCTCATGTCCAGCTTTTCTTCCATCAGTACCCACTTCGTAAAACATTTCTTTCTCATGTCTGATCTAAACCTGCCCTCTGTCAATTAAAAACGGTTAGGCCCCTTGTCCTGTCGCTATGGGCCCTGGTAAAAAGTCCCCATCTCTCTTACCAGCCCCCTCTAAGCACTGAACAGATGCAACCAGGTCTCCCCAGAGCCGCCTTCTCTCCAGGCTGAACAACCCAGACCCCCTCAGCCTTTCTCCACAGCAGAACTGTCCCAGCCCTCAGACCATTTCCATGGTCTCCTCTGGCCCTGCTCCAGCAGGTTTACACCTGGCTGGTGCTGGGGACCCCAGACGGGACACAGGGCTCCAGGGGAGTCTCCCCAGAGCGGAGCAGAGGGGGAGCATCCCGTCCCTCACCCTGCTGGCCACGCTGCTCTTTAGGCAGCCCAGGAGATGGTTAGGCTTTCTGGGCCGTGGGCACACATTGCCAGCTCATGTCCAATTCTTCATCCACCAGTACCCCCAAGCATTTCTCTACAGGGCTGCTCTCAGTCCATCCATCAATCACCCAGCCTGTGCTGATGTTGGGGATTGCCCCAACCCAGGTGCAGGACCTCGCGCTTGGCCTGGCTCAACCTAACGAGGTTCACATGGCCCTGCTCCTCCAGCCTGTCCAGGCCCCTCTGGACAGCATCCCCTCCTCCAAGTGTATCAGTTACACCTCTCAGCTTGGTGTCATACACAAATGTGCTGAGGGTGTGCTCAGTCCGACTGTCAATGTTGGTGGAGTGACATGAAATGAGTCCTGGTATCACACATTCCAAAGGTGTTTGAGATTCGACAGCCTGCAGTAAGGCTGTTCTTAAAACTTGGCTGTTGCATGCTGCACCACCTTAGAGGTGCCGTACATCTCGGGGGTACGGAGGCATTTCTGGGAGCGTTTCACCAGAGTAATGGCAGTTCCAGCTGCCTCCGTTCATCCTTTCCCGCTGTCCATCCCTGCCACACTTCACCTATCACCCGAAGGTAGGATTTTGAGGTTGCTACAGTAAACTGCTCCTCCGAGGTACCGTTCTTCCCTCCCTACCTGGTGGAAGGCCATCACAATTAGATGAGAAAGCTGAAAGGGGGTGAAATTAATCCTGTGTTTAAATTCATATTCAAACCCACACATGGGCTGGATAGGGGAAGCTCCGCACATGAGGAGCCGTTCACGGTCTGTGTCTGTACTTAAGCAATAGCCATGTTAAAATAACTCAAGAGATTTCCTGCAATGAAATCTCTTAACCTAAAACTGGGTTGTTTTTTTTTCCCCCGTGTACCTGCTCCAGATTCTTCTTTGTTCTTTCTGGATATCAGTGTCTGCAAAACTTTTAATTCGCAGAAGCCAGCTTGCTGTCAGAGATAAGCGTCGTGGTGTTTGCATCGTGTATCCTGCCTGCTCTAAGGAGCTGCCTCCGCTGGAAGTGCTGGAATGAACTTATGACAAATACAAGGAATGAAAGTCTCTCTCAAATGCACTTTCTGGCATGACTTAAATTAGCTGAAATTGCTGACATTTTGCCTTTTTCAGACGTGTGTCAGTGTCCATAGACTTTTATTTCAAACAATGGAAAATTACTGAGTTAAATGTTGCCAGAGCAACAAATCTGGGAGACGCTAAGTGTACGTTAGGTGAAGGTTACTGCAGTGTATCTGGTCCTGCAGTGCATGTGCTGTGAAGGCAGAAATGTGCAGTCTCTAACCTTGGCCAATCTCAGGAAACTGAAGGATGCCACCATTCCAAATGCCATAATTCTGCTCGGAGCTTTTTGCTTTTGTAGTATGTTTAATTTGGATGGGCTGAACATTTCCAGTGAAAGAAAAGTTTAATGACAGGTCATTTAGCTTGAACCAAAACATTACCTTAAAGACAAAGAAGTTCTTTGCCTTTAGATTCTCCCATATTGGTGTCAGTAGCTTTGCTCTGGACTAAAACTAAACTTAGAACAAGCGACGCTTTCTTGTTGAAGAGAATCAGAGCTCTTCGGCAAATTCACATCTCCGCAGCCAGAACTCTCTAATAGGCAGAAGTCTTGGTTATTAAACACGTGGCTGACAATGCCGTCTTCCACATCTGGAGGCTGTGGTTAACCTAAATGCCCAAGTCTGCACGGTCAGTGTCTGTACATAGGTTTGTCACGCTGTTCATTTATGTAACCAGTGGAATCCAGGAGGTGAATCCCCATCTTTCTCCTGAAGCAAGTTCTAGAGTGGGCCAGATGCCTTGTGCCCTCCAGTGGCTGTCTCCCGCTCTGAGCGGCAGCTCGGCTCTGTACCGAATCTGAAGAAGCTGAGGTGTGATCCACCCATGTCTTTCCAACCACGGCTGTGTAGCCTGCAGATTGAAAACATGCCTTAAAAAGCTGATAAATACCTCAAAAGAATTTATTAGATATTGAGGTAGCAGCTTGTCTAAAAGTAAAGATACGGTGTCCCCTCTCTTATTGAAACCAGTGCTAATTTCAAATTTCTCTGCTGTTAACTGCTGATGAGTAAACATTGACAGTATCTGGCAATTTAAAAGCTAGATCCTGCTTTTATTCCAAATTTACACGGGCAACAGTATTTAATTAATTTCAGATTTACTCTGTAGTTTACTTTTAGAAAAGAGTTTGGCCCTAACATTTTCAGTGAGTGAAAATTAACCCCTTCTTAAACTCATTTGGGTTTTGTCTCATTCTTAATTGACCTGTCAGCTAGCAGCACCTATATCCTGTTACATATCCGTGCTTGGTGACTAGGTTGGGAGTGCAGCTTGGTGTGAGTGCAGGTGTCATGGCTCTTACTGTAATCCCCAGTTCCAGATGTGGGCACTGTTCAGCGTCTTGGAGACCCTGCAGAGTACCCGCAGACTCGATCTCCCACCTGTTTTGATTCCTAATCTGAGTGAGCACTGGGAAATGCTGAACATGCAGTGTCTGAAGCGCTGTCTCTCTCTCACTGTAACGCAGAACTCGGGGTTGCAGAGCTGTACCCGGGTGCCTTTCTGAAACGGGGGTTCAGAGCATCAAGCCACCTGCTGCAGTAAGGTGCTGCACTGGGGCTGGAACCCTCTGGTCTTTTTTCCTGTTAAAAATGTGGGGTTTCAGCCCATTCTGTCTATGGCATAATAGTTGTGTAGAAAGAAGAGCATTGATTGTAAGCCTTGGATTGACTGCATGCTCAATTGACAGTTGCTAGATTAAGTGATTGACCAGTAACCCATTTTCTTCCCATGTGTCTCAGATAAACAAATTGAACTCTCTAAATCTCTCATTTTTAGGCATCTTCCCTGTTCTTCAGCTGGTTTCAAGATTAATACATTCACTCTCTGATGTTTAAGCAACTTTTGAAGGATGCAGACACAGGCATTGAGTGCTGTCTCTCTAACAAAGAGGTAAGATCTCCCTCCTTGCTCCTGTTTGCACGTGACACAGCCAGGGATTGCCTTGATCACCTCTGCTGTATCACCAGCTCTTGCTGAGATGCTCATCTGTTAGGACCCTCACTCCCTTCCCTGTTAACTCATGCCCACAGCAACTGCTCTCTCTTTTAAAAAAAGACTGCTGTTCTTATTTTTAGCTGCGCGTCTTTGCATTAAGCTTGGTTTAAGCGGTGGTTTTGTTTCAGTGGACTCAGCCTCTCGAGCAATCTGTGCTTTTCTGCATCACTGATAACTCTTACCTTTATTTGTCAGCCTGAAAACTTCTGTGCCATTTGCAGATTTTGTCAGCAGCCATCTTCTGGTCTAGTCTGGGGAAAATACAGCCTAGCTGCCAGGCCTGTTCCTGGTCTTTGCAGAACTTGCTGTAATTACATGCAGTTGCTTCTGATTCTAACGTGGGAATCATTTGTCAAGATCTTTGTTACTTTTAATCCACTTAACGTGGGCTTTTTTAATACCCTCTTGCACTATTTTTTTCTCACACTGTCATGAAGCAATAAATCAAATGTCCTACATGGCCTATCCGCAGTATGTCTGTGCTGTTGCCCTTTCAATGAAACATTGAATTTCACCAGAAGGGGATTACATTTATATCCTTCAATTCCGTATTGATTGCATCTCCTCAGATTTCATTATTTTGCCTGTGAACAACTCTGTAGTTATGTGGAAGAAGTTGAATAGTTACCAATACTAGTTTTCTTCCAGGCTCCTGTTAATCTCTCTCCAGCTTAAGAATAAATTACTTCTAAGATCAGAGTGCCGGAGGTTTGTCCAATTCTGGTTTTAGGATCTTTCACCAAATGTGCTGATGTAAAAATTTCTATTGATAACGTTTGACAAACTGATGTTTGACATCATTGGAGGACTGAAAGTTGTCTTATCCCCTCTGCTATAACACCACCAAACAGTTCTTTCTGTGGTCAATATTTTACCAGTTTTACTACTTAGAGCTCCAGTTGGGCCTGTAACGTGGCTAGGTTTCATTCATTCTAATACTTCACAGTGTTGCCAGCTGGGAGTTTCCACTGATTTTTTATCTTTTACTGGTAGGATTGCAAATTTATATTGATTACTGTCTAATATCTCATCTAAAATTTTTGACAGATTACTTTTTTTAACTAGGTTTTCTTTCCACTCTCCCAAAACCCACTACAAAATACATAGTGAACTCTTTTCTGGCCCTGAAATGGAGATTTTTAGCCTCCCTAAATGCATAGAATAGTTTGAGCATCAGGTCAGAAGTCAGATGTTCCTTAGGTCAAACCCTGTCCCTAGCCTAAACCTGCAGGGCAGCGCTGCTCAGGTCACCCAGGTTGGTCTTGTCTTTAAATCAAAGATAACAGTGGTTGCCTGTTTCTGAGGTTTGGTCTGGGTGATTCATTTCTGTCTGAAGGCGACTGGCATTGTCCTGTGGGGAGAACAGTTCCTCCCTGTGGGCTGTGGCCAAGGCCGAGATCGCTAGATCAGGCTTTAACAAGGTTTGGCCACCTCCCTGCAGTTAAAATAAATCTTACTGTTAGGGTGGGATGTATCCAATAGTGCCCATAAAATTTCACGGGAGCTTAGCTTTCAATCCACTGTGTTTTGGAGACTTCAGCCTCAAGCATAAATGTTTTTATTAACATTTGAAGTACAGAGCAGCCGCTGCTCACTCTTCTGCTTGGGAGCTGCTTTGGGAGCATGTTTTGTTTGTGAAACGGCGGTTAACTGCTACATTTTTTTATAGTGGACTTCTCAAAAGCCTGCAGAGGAGACGTAGGATCTTCAAGCAAATTCTGGCAGCTGGGATTTCCCGATAACAGGTGATGCTACAAATATGGTTGTGTGTTGGTTGTAAAATTCTTGAGTTTTCTGGCTCTCTTGGTTGAATGCTTGCATCATTTAGGCTCAAGCTGATAAACTCATAAATATTTGGGGGGGTTTGTTTGTTTTTTAGATAAAATTATTTGACCACCATGAGTTGGAGTTTTCTGACCCGTCTGTTAGAGGAGATCCACAATCACTCAACCTTTGTTGGCAAAATCTGGCTGACAGTGTTGATTGTATTTCGGATTGTCCTAACTGCAGTGGGAGGAGAATCCATTTATTACGATGAACAAAGCAAGTTTGTGTGCAACACGGAGCAGCCGGGCTGTGAGAATGTTTGTTACGACGCTTTCGCTCCTCTTTCACATGTGAGGTTTTGGGTCTTTCAGATCATTCTTATAGCCACTCCATCCGTGATGTATTTAGGCTATGCAATTCATAAAATTGCCCGGATGGTGGAACACAACGAAGTCGACAGAAGAATCAGAAGCAAAAGCTTTTCCATGCGCTGGAAACAACACCGTGGCTTAGAGGAAACTGAGGAGGACCACGAGGAAGACCCGATGATGTACCCAGAAATAGAGCTGGAGAGCGAACGGGAGAATAAAGAGCAGCAGGCCCCTGCCAAAGCCAAGCATGATGGCAGGCGGCGAATCCGTGAAGATGGACTCATGAAAATCTATGTGCTGCAGCTTCTGGCAAGGACTACGTTTGAAATCGGCTTTCTCGTGGGTCAGTATTTTTTGTATGGCTTTGAGGTCAGCCCCACATTTGTGTGCAGCAGGAAGCCGTGCCCACACAAGATCGATTGTTTCATTTCAAGGCCAACCGAAAAGACCATTTTCCTGCTAATAATGTATGGGGTGAGCTGCATGTGTTTACTTTTGAATGTCTGGGAGATGCTTCATTTGGGATTTGGCACAATCCGGGACACCTTGAACAACAAGAGAAAAGAGCTGGAAGACTCTGGTACCTATAACTACCCTTTTACTTGGAATACGCCATCTGCTCCTCCTGGCTATAACATTGCGGTCAAGCCAGAGCAAATGCAATATACTGAACTCTCCAATGCCAAAATGGCCTACAAACAGAACAAAGCCAATATTGCTCAGGAACAGCAGTATGGAAGCAATGAAGAAAACATTCCAAAAAGAAAATCTGCAGAGGGAAATTAAAGTGGCTCAGGAGCGCCTGGACCTCGCCATCCAGGCTTACAACAACCAAAACAATCCCGGCAGTTCCAGAGAGAAGAAATCCAAAGCGGGCTCAAACAAAAGCAGTGCCAGTAGCAAGTCAGGAGATGGGAAGAACTCTGTCTGGATTTAATGTTGGCTAAGTTTATATATTGTGTTTTTTCTTCTAGTTTATCATAACCAGCAACCCCTTGAATAATGGCTTCCATTAAGTAAATGTTTGACTCTGCTTATTTTCAGGGATACCGTTGGCTCGTGATTCAACCTCTCAGAAAGGGTTTATACGCATATTCTAGGATTATAGAACTTTATTCTTCTGTCTTCCAAGTCAGGAGACAAATAAGTATATTTAAATCATTCTCATTGAACGGTTTATGCTGTATGTACAGTATTACAGTACATTTATTATGCACAATTTTTTGTATTTGTACACTGGATCTCTGGCGTTACACTTTTTTATATTAACGAGGAGAAAGCAATGGGTAGCTGTTAGCGTTTTGCTAGTTTTATTACTGTGGTCCGCAGTTTCGTCATTGTTCTTCCTTGTTTTAAATGTAAAACTTTCCATGCTGCGTTTCAAAAGTGCCTTGAACATGCACACAGCACAGAGGAGCCTCCGGTTATCCAGGCAGCCCATGGGTGCCAGTCGCTGAGCAGCAGAGCAGTGAAAGATTTGGAAAACATCTGTTAATGGTGCTCTTGACTGTCTTTGACAAAAATGACGTGCTACTTATGAAATGGAAGTGTCACACGATAGCTACTACGTGCTACAGGGGTTTTTTGCCCTACAGAATACTTACAGGAAAAATGTATGTGTGTAAGAGTACTTGTGTTCAGAGGAAGAGTGCCAGCCGTAATGCAGGGAGGGCTCAGACCTCCCTGCAAGCTTTATGCAACAGGAGGGAAGAGAGGCTTCAAACTCTTGTAAAACATCCAAAAAAAAAGTAAATAGAAATTACTGGATTCAGTAATTCCACATATTGATGTGATACCTATGGAAAGGGATGGTTTTGAGGTCTGTTGTTACATAACACCCCACTCCCCAAGGGCATGAGGTTGTTACGGTGCTTTTTGGAAAAGATTTCTGTCTTTTCCAAAGTAATCTGCTTGGATGGAGTCATGGTAATTGTGTTTCTCCGTGCATTACGTGCAAGGAAGAACCTTCCTCCCCCCAACCAGGACACACGAGCTGTCTGTAAGAGTTTTTACAAAGCCCTTTCTGAGTATCAGTGATATTGCCTTATTCCACACCCCTCTTCCTTCCATTATGTCCAAGGAATTTAGTTCAGACAGAGCAATATGTATAATGATTTCTGCTTGAGAGACCAGTCAGATTTGGCATTCTGTGGTTTTGGCATTAAACTTGAATTTATAATTAGAAAAAGGAGAATGCAGCATTTACTGCCTTTGGCGGTGCCTTTTTGGCAAGGGTGCGCATTAATGTTTGAGAGATGCTGATAAATGTGTATGCTTTTTGCTATTATTTATGATGTATTCAGGACCTTGCTCCATGCTCATTTTTGCTAGGTTTTCATGTGTTTTAATATATTGGGGGGCCTGTTTCAAGCGGGACTGTTCTCTTTCGAGGCTACCTCAGTCCTTAGTGCCCTCATTACAGCCTGGTCAGGAACAGGGTTGAGAAGAAAGGCTCCGTGCAGGACCCAGGTAAACCCGTACTCCAGTCCTGTCCCGCAGAACATCTAAGCGTAGGCTTTACGTTAAATTTAAACTGAGGGGATATGAACACATGCTTGCAGTTATCCTCTACCCCAGCACTTGCTGAAAATAGGTATTTTGCTGAATTGTTTTCAGTCTGGTTTCACTCTGGGACACCAAGCAGTCCAGGCGTAGATCCCAACGCTCTCTCAGCTCTGCTTTAGAGAGGCGTAAGTGTGCCCAGAGCCCCTGCAAACCCTCCACGCCAGGTCAGCCAGAGCTTCTCCAGTTCACCTCCGGCAGAGATGTTTGGGAGCAAACTTGCTTTTTGTTTAGCAGTAACTCCTGGCCGCTGCTCTGGGAAAGGAGCAACCTCTGAATTTTATGCAGGGAAGTTTCAGGGTGATGTCTTTAAGTAAGCATAAGTAACGCAGTAAGTACGTAGCAGTTTGTAAAAGCTTAAGTGGACTTGCGAGAGAGATGGGCCTAGCTGTGTGGGATGAGAGGGGGGTTATTAATAGTGCTCCTCTAGTTAACAAGGAGCCTGAAGAGAATTGTGCTGCCGGAAGGTGGGCAGAGAGGCTTTGCCAGCAGAAAGCCGTGAGTGTGAGGGAGAAGCTGAGCAGAGAGCTTGCTGCTGTCTACGCAAACTGCAGCGATTTCTGATTAATGGCTTAAAATAAAATTGGTTCATGACAGCTGCTTCACCCGTTGTTTGTATTAGCCCTTTCCCAATTAACGATCTAAACCGTTACCCGCTTAAAGCTACTGTCTCAGGTCAGTCCTGTGAGCTTTTGTCCACACCAGTAAGTACTCCCATTAGTGCATAGAATATTCCAATCCCAGCACTGAATTAATTCCGAAAATGCAAAGTAATGGAGCTGTTTCTATTACTCTTTGTTTGTTTTAATTTTAATTGTGTATAAAGTGCACATTTTCTTTGAAACTGAGTGTTTGTTATTAGTAGAGGATGTCTGTTAAAGCTCTAAATGTTCATGTCTGTGACTCTATTCAGTTTCAAAGTATTGGGCTTGATTTTTCCTTTTGAAGAAATGATACATGCATTACTTTAAAATGCTCTCTTGCTTTGGCTTAATGTAGGCCATTCCAGAATAAACGTTCAGAAGAGACTTTTGGACAGTAAATACTGAACATAACTTGGGTTTGTCTTGTCATTCTCTGGTTTTGGATGCAGTTTGGGGAAAAAAATCTATTAAATCCAGTGGATTACTCCAGTCTGAGTGAGATGGCTTCTTCTTTCCAGCAGTAGAATATACTCCGAATACATGCGTGAGGGAGGGGGATGTTTTAATGATTTCTCTTAGAGCCACAGCTTGGAATTTTCATATATTTGACCTTGCTCAGTGTAATAAAAGAGTCGTCGGAAACTTAACTGTGCCTTTCTGCATGTGAATTGCTCCTCAGTGACAAGAACAATTGTGTTAGAAAAGGGAAGAACTGTAAACTTTGGAAGACAGACCTTGAGAAGGGTACTGCTTACGAAAACATGAAAATCTGCATTTATGCATATGAATGAGCATGCTGATATTGTCCACTGAACTGTGCAGCATCAGCTGGCCTAATTTAGCTGCGATTTTTGAAGGGACATACGGGAGCTGGCTGCCCAGCTCTTTTTAAAAATTGCAGCTGAATGCCCGTCTGTTTTGCCGTCACAAAAGATGGCTTTTGTAAGCGTCCCATGCTTTCCCCTCGCTGCAAATTTGGCCTCAAAATTGGAAGTGTGTCTAAGGAGGCATTAAGTGGTTTGCTGTGTGATGCAGCTGTGAGAAAGCTAGAAGTTGGATGGATTCAGTGGGGGGGGCTTGGAATAAAAAGCTGTTTGTTCAGAGTTAAATTAAAAAGCAGCCATGTAGACAAGGAGCGCGCTGCTCCTCCTGACAGAGCACGTTGTGTCCGAGCCTTGGTGAGGGCTGTAATGGCAGAAATTGGTGACGGTGACCAAGACAGGATCCAGCAGTGATAACTCTATGTGTTTTTTCAACTGTCAGGTTACCTGAACATCCTGCAGTCCCCAGAGACTGGGAAATGCCCGCAGAACAGGGAACAGCCCAGATGCCGTCGCCAGCTCCGTGCCCAGGCAGGGTAACACCGGCTTGAGCCGCGCAGCATGGGTTCAAGTACATGGGTAACCGAGGAGATGCAGCAGGACCTGGGCTCCTGCTGCGTCGCCTCTGCTGCTCCAGAAGGACACTTAACCTCGCTGTTATCTTTAAGCAAGTGATTATCTCTGTATGAGTCAATGCAGCCAGCTACCAGCATCCAGCTAAGCATGCGCTTAAGTGTTTTAAAGTGCAGAAACCTTCATTTAACAACGGATTTGCAGTGAGAAATTCTGAAATGCTGCAGGCATTTAACCGTAACTGAAAAAGAAGGGTACGGTTGCGGCGCTCTTCGCTTGTGATAGGTTTCTTGGGAAACCGTCTAATAGAAGCCATCACGTGATGGCTGTGCTTGATCTTGTGCTCAGAAACAGGCCAGGAGTAGAAAACCCCGAGGTCAGAGCTGGGATCCTGACGCAGTTGCCCCAGGCTCGGCTCAGTTGCTCCCTGCAGATGCACAGCACTGTCTGAGGTGCCCCTGGGTGTTCCGCATGGCCTCCAGCTGCTGCTCCGAGCAGATGCGTCTCCCCGGGGTCCTGTGTCACATCTGCCTGCCCTGTGTGGATGCCTGAGGTGCTTGAGAACCCCTCTGACAGCACCACGCACCCAGACATGATCCCAACTGATCCTTTGTGCCTCTGGGCAGGCCAGCTGGCACTCCCACCCTGTTTTCCCCTTCTATAAGGTGAGGATAACGTGACTGACTTCGTACAGGGTATAGCAAGCATAAATTAGATCCTCTCTGCAGAGTAATTTTCCTGTTAGAGCGCATATTAGAGGGTTAATATTGTTAGCTTTAAGTGTTCTTGACTGTAGTTTAGCTGCAGTCTTGTAGCAGCTACATCATTCTTGTAGCTTGATCCGTTAATAATTCAAGAATTCTTGATACCAGGTGCATAACTTGCTAGCTAGGAGGTTACTTGCAAAAGGATCTGTTTGTGGAGGTGCGCGTGGTTGCTCTCGGGGCACTTGCAGCGTGCCGGATTGCTGTGAATCGGATGTGCTGTGCTCTGCATGTTGTGCAGTTACTGTGAAGCGGTTCCTGAAAGCTGGATCTGTTTGTGCGAGTTAAATTACGGTTTGCTGTTAATGGTGTAAGTAGATGTAATCCACCTTTCTACAGCAGCATGGAAGGGAGCTCAGGGGCTTCCGCTCCTTTGGGGCTTGCCATTCATTTTCTCTCTATCAGAGGAGACTTCAAATACCAGTTCATCATTGCTTGGAAAATAACATTTTGTTTTCTACAGTGTGACATTATCGCTGTTGTGTAAATTCCATGGCGATAGCTGGGAAAAAAAGCCTTAAAAGGGGGATTTAAAGGTATCTGATCAATGCTCATCGATGCTATGGAAGAGTT